GAAGCATCAGCTCTGCTGTAAGGGAAAATGAAAATTTCGTGCTGACCTCATCGGACAGGTAAATTGTTTGTAGGCAGCATTCATGGACGATTTAACGTTCCTCAACAGCGATTTTGTAAAGACTCCAGCGATTATGAAATTGCCACCAAGAGCGAGAATGAATCAGCACAACAACGATGTTGGACGACAGGTATGTGCAACGCATTCAATGAATCGCTTAATAACTTCAACACTATAATCCTTGAATGCTTAAAATTTTTATGAGAAAATTAAAAAGTTTTATTGTAATCCTTAAAATTTTAATTCACTGTTTGTGCAGCTGCATGATGAGCATTGAAATATTGCTTCTCTCGAGAACAAATGGTGGTTAATTGGAGCGTTTGCAACTGAACTTTCGTTCTGATTCGTTCTCATTTCTCCTCATTCATAATTCTCCCTATTCACGATTACATCTATGTGTAATACAATAAATTTTTAGACTGATAATTATCTATCGTTATAGGTAACTCAAGAAAGTTTGTATAGGAAATGCAAATGTCACGGAGTGTCAAGCAGTTGTAACGTGCGTACTTGTTGGAACACACTACCGGATATAGTTGATGTGGCAGTCAAGTAATTTATTTAACCATATTGTCACTGAGAATTATTATGTGCTGACACAGTGAATCCTTCAGTACATTCTTTTGTTATTTGATTCGATGACGAGGTACAACTCGGCATGAAATATACCCCTCAAATATCGTCTCATATGGGACGAAAATATATCCCTGCGGAATCATCTCACTTCATATGCTCTTGCTGTTCCTTCAAGCAATTATTCAGCATTCAGCATGCACTTACAATTCCACAGCTGATTAAGTTCTCTGCTTCCTTCTGTGCGATTGCTTGCAAATCAGAATAAGAGGTTTGTTCGATGCGACAATGTATCTAATGAATCTAAATGTTGAGACTTCGAGAGCGATACGCCGAAGCAGCAGAAATGGCTGAATTGCTAGCTGAATCTGTTTACGGAAATAACGCGATGCACGGCGA